ACGGGTTATTAACGGGTCACGGGTCATGAACATCTGACCCTAACCCGTTTTAAACGGGTGGGTAACGGACGGGTTAACGGGTTGGGTAAAAAATTACCATGTCTAAATTTACCTCAAACTTAAGAGTAGCACGGAAACAGTGAATTGATTTACTTTTTAACCTTTAACAAGGTTTCGAGCATGCAGTTATTGCTTATGTTCCTAGTAATGTTGGAAACTATGCGTGTGTTTGGTATTTATCCCACATCAGTCACGTACAGGTACATAAAGCAGTAGATGCATGGCTTTCCGCTTGCTTCTATTACTTTCTTACCTGAACAGGATCGGAGCGTGACTAATGGCTTCTTGATTCATGCGGTCAGTGAAGCTATGGATCAGGATCGTTCTCAGTTAGAATCACATCCAAGCCTGGGGTGGTCACAGGGTTGTCTGAAAGACTCAAATTATTGTCTTTTTTGCATCATCCAAGAACCTGTAATAATCCACAGGAAAAGGAGAAGAACTGATCTTGTTGAATAGTTTGAAAAGTAAAAATCCCACATAAGAAGAATAAGGAAATAAAGTGATTTATATATGTTTACATTTTGTCCATAAAAAATCATGAAAAGTTAGAATTTAAGACTTGTAAACTTTGAGTTTAGGTCAAAATTTTATTTTTTTTAATTAATTTCAAATTTTTAATTAATTTTAATTAATTTTTTGAAATTTGAAAAACATGTCTGAAATTTTAAACACAATTTTTGACAGTAAAAGATAACTTTTGAAATGGTATCTTTTTGTAAAGATACATTAGCAAATGTAGAGATATACCCCTCAGTTGATATCCATTTGGACAACATATATAAATTTCCTTGATAGAGTTCATATTCTATACTTAATTCTAAAAATTTGTGAATTTTGTTGTATTTTATAAAATTTTTGAATCATTAGAAAAAGTGAGATCACATCTTAAAACTTTCTTATCCTACTATTTTCTTTATCTTTTCTTAACCATGCCAACCTGGGCACATAAAATTTATTTTCCTGGTTTAAGTAACTGAAATTTAAAAATGGACAAAAATATTTGACCATTTTCCTCTAT